CCAAGTGATTTCTTTAATCAGGGCATTAACAACCTGACTGTTAGATGGAAAAGTATCATTGATAAGAATGGAGACTATTTCATTAAATAAATGTTATTTGGGTTTTTGATCTATAAAAGAGCAACATTAATTTTTGACGACCTAATATATATCTTTCCAACTTGATCAGGGTTCTCCATAATTTTTAATAGAAGAAGCCCAACTCAAGATTGAAGAGGTTTAAATGGTGAGGGTTGCTTATTGCTTATTTAGAGGAGTGTCGTGGTAGGGGGTCTGAAGGGAATTTTCCACATACACAAAAAATATTTTCAGCAATTTTTGAGGGATGAAGAAAGCCTCTTCTGGTGTCTTTTATTCTATTTTAAAATATCTAGCATTATAGAATAAAATTAATCAAATCAAAAAGTAATAAATATGATCATAATCTAGAATAAATTGTTAGGAAAAAAGCTTTGAAGTTAAAAAGTGTAAGAAATTAATATTTACCTGCATTTCTCAAAAACTGCAATATGTCTGACCATAGATATTTCTGAAACAAAAAAGGACACTGCTTCACTATCAAAAACTCAAAAATTACAGACTGCCTTCCTTACCATTTTTCACTGACATTAATTATTCACTTTCAAAAAATTATAAGCATTTATCAGCTTAAGTTTCACAGCCATGAATTTAACTCAAAAAATTACAGCTCCTACAAATAAACAACAATATGGAAAGTGTTTTCAGATTAAAAAGTCTTTCACATATCTATCAGAGTTTGTCATCTATTGCATAATTTGTGGTCTTTGCAACTGTTATATGTTTGTTGGTGAGATATTAACAGTAAGTCTCTCAATATTTCTGTAATGATAAACACGATATTTCACATCTCAAACTAGTTGTCTTAAGGTCTGTTTCAGTTGAATATTCCTAATGTGAATATGAGGAACAGCAACTTGTTTATATCCTAGCAACCCTTTCCTAATCATTCCTTCTGACCATTTGTTGTGGTTTTTAACTATTATTTACTGTGATCTCAAATGTTACTCAAACATACTAGGTTTTTTTTGTTTTGTTTTTCTGACCAGTAGTTTAGTGCCCATCAAAAGTAAATTTGCTGTATTTTTCCCCATATTTTGAATTATGTCATTGTACATTTTTTATTCACTCACATTTATTTTATTAATTTCTGGTGTATCATTTATCAGGATTTGACTGTATTGTTTATTTTGTTTACACTACAGTGTTTTAATGGACATACAATTCATTGTATGTTTCATTCCATTGTTCTGTTATTTTCATGTGAATGTATTTCCTGTTAAATTTTTTAACTGTTTTAGACATTACTTGATGAAGAACCTTGGTTCAAAACGTAGCTGTTATTTCAAAATAATTTCAGTGTTTTTCATTTACTTTTATTTATTTTTAACAAGTAAAATTTCTTTCCAGTTCTAATAAATTATACAACTTGGCTTGAAACTAATACAACAAACACTACCCAATGCAAAATTATGAAAATATTGGTTTCAACAAAACTATAAACAATTTTGACATTCTAATAGACAACAAATACAAATACATAGGCTTAATTACAATATGCATTTAAAGAGTCAAGATCTTACATTAATTCTGTTCACATTTTAATTTGCCTTTGATATCCAAATATATAGGTTCACAATAAATTTAAGTTTAATTTTTTTAATGAGTACTATAGCTGACAGTCAAAACTCAGAGAACTAATAATTTATACCACCACCAAGATGTACTGCTGAATTTCACTGAAAATTGCACCTTTCAAATGGTCAAAATCATCCACCTTCAAAGCAAAGATTTTTATTTCAACATTTTAGAAAAATATATCAACCATAGATATCAAACTTTAGAGCAAAAATATGTTCAATTGAAATAGATTCAATGATAATTCTTTTTACACTAACCTTTGTGGCACTTTTTGATTGGGCCAGAATATCCTGATATTGCTTTTTCTTTTCGACTTGGATTGCAAACAGTTGTGGGCTCAAAACATAAAGAAACTTCTTGACATACACAACAGCAAGCTGCATTCATTCTCTGATATAGACAATTATCTTACAACTAGAATAAATGTGCTATTGCAAATAACTTTACAATTACATAATTACAAATTTATTAAAGAAATTGGAAATGATCCAATTCATAGTAATTTAGGGCACCATTGAATACTATATTTTGTAAAGGAACTGTTGCAGTAGGAAAGTTTATTAATTTAAGAAAAGTTCAAGTGTTCGAAATACACCTTCACTGCAGCCCAAATAAAATTTAAATAATTTTATTTTCCAATTCAAGTAAATTTTACTTTGAACATTCATTATGTTTATTCAATACAGTTGATTTCTTTTAATTGCAACTGCACTTTACCAGCATCTAAATTAAAATTGAGCAAAAATTACAAATAGCAGTATTTATAAGAAGGTCCATTGCAAAAGAACAGGAAAACTTCTTGAAAATTCTAGATAATTAATAGGTTTGCGTGCAGCAGGCTTTAAGTGTATGTAATGTCAAGGCTAGTAGACCTGTTGATTTTTATTTAATACATGATCAGAGAATAGAAACAATGCAGTCATTAGTTAGATGGAAATTCTAGAATGCTTAAATTCAGTTAAGCATTCTATAAACTATTTATCTGAGTCATAGGCACATAATTAAGTCTGTACAGATAAATATATGCCTAACTTTTAGCATCAAAGTCCTAATTGGCTAACATTAGGCATAGATGTATTTGTTCATTCTTTCTGATCAAGTTATACAGGTAATAGTTAAG